CCACTCTGAATGCTCCAATTACTTAAGTTTCAATTAAGGCTTTTATGTAATCTCCCATTAATCAAAAAAGGTTTATTCTTTAAAAAAAAAATTTAACTATGGATTAGATTAATTTAGATTTTATATAAAATTATTTTATTTAATAAGTCACTTTTTTCTACCATTTCATTTCATAATTACTCATTATAAATATATACTTTTTTTAAACTAAATGATATTCTTATAAATATTTTATAAATTATTTAAATCTTCCTACTCATTCTATTTATATTATTTTCCTTTCCCTTTAATACTCCTAATATGACTAACACTTTTTTTTTTAACTGAAAATATTATCTGAATTCTAAAATTTTTATAAGCCCATATAATGTAATCTTAAGACTTTTTTATTTGTATTAACTGCATGAAACTTTCAAAATAATTATTATAACTAATTTTAAATAAAAATCATTAATTCTTAATCATAAAATATTCATAAATTTGACTAATAATCTTCAATATTTCAATAAACCTTCTCTATTTAACATTTCTAAGTACTTTAAGATTTGACCTTTTTATATTTTGAAAAAAGTAATAATGATATGGTTGTGGATTCTATGTCATATACATTAATATGTTAATCCTTAAATCATGATGGTTTTTTTTAAGTCAAAATAAGAAGTGAATGATTTTAATTAATAATATTAAATTTAATGGTAACTTAAGCTTAAAGGAACCCTTTTCAATCCATTAATGGAGAAATTTGTTTGAAAGGAAATTACAGAAAAATTAAAAAATTTTTTAGATAGGTAGTAGGATGAAATAATTTATATTTAGAAAGTTAATTATATAAAAAAAAATTTTTTATTTCATATTTTTTAGGTTATTTATGGAAATTCATAATTTATTTAGATAATTGTATTAAAATAAATATTTTAGTTACTTTTATCTATTTTGGAGGATATGTGGATCTATATAATTAATAGAAAATTTCAATATTAAAGGAATTTTGTTGGCTGAAAATTTAGTGGAAACAAATTTATTTATAAATGATTCTAAGAATAATATATATGTATATTCTAATAAGGAAGAATATGCTATCTTGTTTTCTCTTTTAATAATTAGTTAATGATATTGTATGAAAAGAGTATTAAAAAATAATTTAAAGTTGTTGAATTCACAAAAAGAGAATTTGATGAAAAATTTCTTAATATTCAACTTATTCTGTTCTAAAATTGATAACATGATTTTATCATTGTTGACATAATAGAAATAGCTATAATTAAAAGTTTGGATTAAGAGCTACGGCTTTTCTTATTAATGAAGCTAATTCTATTTCTGATTAAAATTGTGTAAGAGTATTTGAGAAGTAATTCTTTAACACTTTTGATATTGTATTTTATTAATGATAAGAATATCTATAAATTATATTAATAAACAACTAGATAATCTTTAGAAGACTATAATATTTGATTAATTTAAATTAAATATAATGTAAGTAGAACCCTACATAAATACAGTAGTGAAAATATAAGATAATAGCATTCTAAAAAATGCTAAATTAAATAGAAGAAAGTAATAGAATACCTTATATGATAATGATGGATTGACAGTGAGATTCTCTCCAAACTAGGAAGCTCATGAACTTGTTTGTTTTTAAACAGACTAGGCTATCACATCACCATTTTATTACTTTGAAGTAAAAATCCTGAAAAAGGAAAATGCGAAGAAGTAATATTGATTAATAATAAATATAGTACAATATCAATTGGATTGGCATATGATAATTATTAAATAAGCAAGCCTTTAGGTATCATAGGTGGAAGTATAGGATACTATTCTGATGGAAAAGTTATACTAAAAAAACAAGAGATAGATTTAAAATTAAATCCATATAAGTAAGATGATGTTGTAGGATGTGGAATTCATAAATAGGAAATATTCTTTACATGTAATGGAGATCGAAGTTTAAATACAGTAAAGATTGATTTTAAAGAACCATTGTATCCAACAGTGGTTTGTGGAGATGCAGTGATTTTAAAATTTAATTTAGGAGCTAGTCCTATGATTTATGATTTTTAGAAAGTATTGTAAAAGGAAAAGAATGATATAATATAAGAAATCGATAAATAAGATGTTTCTCCTTACAGTCTTCATTTAATTATTTAAGAGTATTTATGGAGTTAGGGATATTTAAATTCTTTGAAATAATTTGAAAGAGAGAGTTCTCTTTAAGAAAATGAGAATATGAGATTAGAAAAAAAACAAGATGAAATGATATATGAAGAAGAATAGTAATGTGATGGTGATTTTAAATTAAAATAGAGTCTATAAATGACCCCAATGTCTGCACTATAAAGAAAATTAAGTGGATTGTAAAGTCCTAATTTCTAATAAATTTCATCTATCGAGAGGAAAGTAAGTGGATTTTATTTGGATGAGTAAGAAAACAATAATGAACTCAATTAAATAGCTGAATAAGCATTCTTAAAAGATTAATTAGTCAATTAAGAAAGAATAAGTAAGTTTTATATTAAAATTAAGAAATTCAAAAATTCATAAGAGAAGGTAAAATAGGAGAAGTATTTGATATTCTATTAGATATGATACCAAGATTTTTATAAAAAGAAGGAGTCTAATAGACTTTGTATTCCTAATACTTTATTGAATTAAGTATTTATATAATTCATAAACTTAGTGAAAAAAGATAAAGTTTAAGAGGCAATTGTATTGGGTTAAATGCATTTGAGTTAACATTTGCATTATTAAGTAGAATGTGTTGATGAGAAATTTAATCCTATTAAAATGAAGGTTGAAAATATATTGGGATTGATTTGTTATGATGATATTGGAACTAGCTTTTTAAGAGGCCTCATAAGTTAACAATAAAGAGAAAGAGTATGTGATTACATCAATAGAAGTTTATTAAGTATTTTTTTTAATTATTTTATTTTAGTTGAATTAGGATATGAGGATGAATCAGCTTTGGAAATATGTCTTAAATAATTAACTTAAGTTTGTGATCAAATCTAATAAAGAGGATTATTAGGAGGACATTCCATATAGCTTTTATGATATATTTAATTTATTTAGTTTTTAATATCAATACTTATTTTAAATATGAATATACTTTATCTAAATTTTAAACAATTTAAAAATCTTAATTAGAATAAATTATGAGAGTTTTAGTATGATGTTAGACTACCATTTTTTTACTGTTAATTAAAAACATTGTTAAATATAAATATTAATTTATATAAGAAAATTACATAATGGGAGCAAATTGCTAATCTTGTTGTGCAAATAAAGAGAATGACAATACAGAAATTAGATTGACAAAAGAAAAAGTAAAGCCTAAGACTGATAATTAAGAAAATGATCAAAAAAAAGAGGAATAAAAAGTTTAAGTAAAAGATCATGAAAGATTTACGATTGATTAAGAATAATAAAAATAAAAGAAAGATTAAAAAAAAGAAACAAAAAAAGAATCTGCAAAAGAAGTTCCTAATAAGAACCCTGATGAGAATTCAAAAAAATCATAAGAAATAGATAAATAATTAAATATATCTGCAAACCATTCAGTTAGTATGAATGTAGCAAGTAATTAAGAAGGGAATGATTTAATTAAAAGTACAATGAATTGTGTTGATAGAAAGAAATTACCTCCTATATAATTAGAATCAGGTGCTGTATATGAAGGAGAGTGGAAAAATGGAATGAGAGATGGATAGGGTAAATAAAAATGGCCAGATGGTTCAATTTATGAAGGAGAATGGGTAGAAGATAAATCTTCAGGAAGAGTAAAAAGTAAATAATTATATTTAGGGTAAATTAACTCATGCAGATGGTGATGTATATGATGGAGAATGGAAAAATGATAAAGCAAATGGTAAAGGAACATATATTCATGTAAATGGAGCAAAATATGAAGGAGAAGTAAATATTATATTCTATTTCCTAGTGGGAAAATGATAAATAACATGGTAGAGGTGTAGAAAATTGGCCAGATGGAGCTAAATATGAAGGTTAATATTTTGAAGGTAAAAAACATGGTAAAGGTATATTAAACTTTGCTGATGGTTCAAGATATGATGGTATATACGTATTATTCTATTTTTAAGGTGAATTCTTATAAAATGATATACATGGAGAAGGAACTTATATTTGGCCAGATAAAAGAGTTTATAAAGGATAATGGAAAAAAAATAAAATGCATGGCAAAGGATAAATTATATGGCAAGATGGTCGTAAATATACTGGTGTAATCATTCCTATATATTCTAGGAATATGAAGAAGATAAAAAACATGGTAAAGGTGTTTTTGAATGGGCTGATGGAAGAAAGTATATAGGAACCTGGATATAAGGTTATATTATAAATATTATTATTTTAGGAAGATAACATGGAATTGGAATCTATTATTTATAAAATAAAGAAGTTAAAGTTGGAGAATGGAATGAAGGAAAAAGAATTAAATGGTTTGAAAAAAATGAAATTGATTAGTTAATTGAAGAATAAAAAATTAAAAGAGAAGATTTGCATTAATAGGATTGATTTATATCACTAATTATTAATCTTAAATCTTTTCATTTAAATAAATTCCATTTATTTATCATCTCACAACTATCTTAATTTTTATTTTTTTTGAATTATTATTATACTAATTTATCAAATTCAAATCAATAATATTCTGATATTTTATTATATTAAAATAAGTTCAAATGAGTAACAGAGAATACGATTATTTGTTTAAATTAGTTATAATTGGCAATAGTGGAGTTGGAAAGTCGGCTCTTTTATTAAGATTTGCGGATGATACATTTAGTGAAAACTATATAACCACAATTGGAGTTGATTTTAGATTCAAATCTTTAAAAGTAGATAATAAAGGTTTAAAATTACAAATTTGGGATACTGCTGGATAAGAAAGATTTAGAACAATTACTAATGCATATTATAAAGGAGCTGATGCGTATCTACTTTATAAATCAATTTTAGAATAGTTATTGTTTATGATACAACATGTTAATAATCATTTGATGATATTGAAAAATTTTGGTTGAATGAAATTGAAAGTTATGCTGAAAAAAATGCAGAATTATTATTATTGGGAAATAAATCAGATCTTAATGCAAAATAAGTATAAAGTGAAAGAGTGCAAGAATATGCTTAAAAAAGAAACATGGTTTTTTTTGAAACTAGTGCCAAAACTGCTGATGGAGTGGAAGAAGCCTTCAAAAAAATTGCTATCAAATTGATGGCAAAAAGGGATTAATTAGTATAAGATAAAAAAAATAAAAGAAAATAATAAAGAGTATTTTATTTAAAATATCAAGTAATCATCTACATCATCATAAAGAACAGAAGAAAGCTTAACAACTTCTGATAGAAAACAAGAAGATGAATAAAAAAATGTTAATTTATGGTCAGCCAAAAGCACAGAAAAGGAATAAGAAACTTAGTAATGCTAATGTTGAATATATAAATCAATCTGTTAAATTTAAAATAAATTAATTAAAAAATAATGATTCATTATCATTCTTAATTAAAATAAGTTTTAAAAGGTTTCATAATTAAAAAAAATAATAATTAAGAAATTTATAATTATTAGAATTAATTTTTTTAAAACATTAGAGGATCCTTCTTAAACAAATATAAATTATTTTGTTGTAGTTAATATAATTTATTATTCAAAGCTTGTATCATAAATTTCATTAAATATTACTTTAATTAAATTTCAATAATCTTATTGACTAAGATTTATAAAAATATTTTATTTTCCGAATGATTTAATTTTTTATATTGGGTCTTAAAAAAGAATTGGAAATCTAATTTTAAACTCCTTTTTAAGAAAAGTTAATAAAAAACGACATAAAATAATCGGAGAGTTATCAAATTATTCATGCCTATAGCACAACATCGTTCTTTATTGAATAATAATTGTAAAAAAAAAGTATAAATATGAAAATTAGAATCATGAGTTTTTTTAGATCTATGGATTTACCCATTCAAGATGAGGTTTCTAATTAATCAACTTTTAAACTAGTCTTCTAATTGCAATAGCAGGTTCTTTTTGATTAAATTAACAGTGAACAATATTTAAATTGAACTTAACCTTTTTCTTAGTGTCTTTTTTTTTCTTACCTTAGTCTATCTAATTGTGAAGAGTTTCTTATAGTGAGTTATTTGTTTATGATAAAAATTTATTTGTAAAGTCATCTGTGCATTAAGTGTCATCAATATCGTGATTTTAATATGAATCTAGAGGTTACATAAAAATAGGTTTTGGTCCAATGAGAGGGTTTGAATTAAATTAGATCATATTATAATTTCTTATAAAAAAAGAACTAAAATAACTATTCATATCAACATTCAATAATTGAAGGGTTAACCCATTTCATAGAAGAATTAATTTTCAGCTGTTTCAAAGACTTTGAGATTGATTTAACAGGATCTGATTAAGAAAAATACAGCACTGCAATATCTTCATTAAATCTAATAGTTTTTTTTATGCGATTGATAATTTATTATGATTGATATTTTGTGGTATAATTTTAAGATTATTCCATTTCATCTTCGACTAAAGGTCTATTCAAAAGAGATAGAGGTACAAAATTAGTTAAATGAGGCCCTATCACATCACTCATATTTTTTTTTTTAATAATTTTTTATTTTAACTAATAAAAAAGGAATGTGAAAAATTCAAATATGTTACAATTAACAAGTTTTTTTAAAGTATCCTAACATTTATTCAAGTTTCCAGTTAAATGATAACATTTCTATAAGTATAAATTATCACAATTACAAATCTATCTTTAAGAAATTTCAAATTTAATGTTGAGATTAAATTAACAATGAATATCATAGGTAATTTCGCTATATTTTAGAAATAAAAATTACTAATAAGATATTTATTTGAAAATTTTTCATGAATTTTTTGAGATCTTCAAATAATAAATGAAGATATTTGTCGGTAGCATATTTAGAACTGAATGTTCCTTTATGTATCTTTAATAGAGCATCTTTGTATTTTTTAAAAGATTATATTCAGAGATAGCACAGGAGAACCATCACTCCCTGTAAAATATTATTCAAAGAAAATTACTTTAGTTTTATTTTAATCAAAATCCAGGGCTCTTCTATTTATTTTCAATTAGTGGGCATTAAAGATTATTACTACAAGTGCTAACATAGAGATTGAATTGTTAGCAATTTGGGTAATGGCTTTTAATTAAAGGTGGTAACAAAGGTATATTAAGATTTTCTGAGGTTATTTATTGATATGTAATAAAAGCATATTAGATTTAGGGGATTCAGGTTTGATAGTATTTTATTTTAATAGTAATCAGATTACTGTCAAGTATTGTTAATAGAAACGATAATTTGATATTAAAGGATTAACCATCATTGCTTGTATATTAATTCTGTATTGATGAGTTATTATAGATGGAATCTAAAATTGATATATTTAACCCTTATGATTAAACCATTGTTAAATAGCTTCTTTTTTATATTTTTATATTTATTAATTATTAAATTGTTGTANTAAGAAAAATACAGCACTGCAATATCTTCATTAAATCTAATAGTTTTTTTTATGCGATTGATAATTTATTATGATTGATATTTTGTGGTATAATTTTAAGATTATTCCATTTCATCTTCGACTAAAGGTCTATTCAAAAGAGATAGAGGTACAAAATTAGTTAAATGAGGCCCTATCACATCACTCATATTTTTTTTTTTAATAATTTTTTATTTTAACTAATAAAAAAGGAATGTGAAAAATTCAAATATGTTACAATTAACAAGTTTTTTTAAAGTATCCTAACATTTATTCAAGTTTCCAGTTAAATGATAACATTTCTATAAGTATAAATTATCACAATTACAAATCTATCTTTAAGAAATTTCAAATTTAATGTTGAGATTAAATTAACAATGAATATCATAGGTAATTTCGCTATATTTTAGAAATAAAAATTACTAATAAGATATTTATTTGAAAATTTTTCATGAATTTTTTGAGATCTTCAAATAATAAATGAAGATATTTGTCGGTAGCATATTTAGAACTGAATGTTCCTTTATGTATCTTTAATAGAGCATCTTTGTATTTTTTAAAAGATTATATTCAGAGATAGCACAGGAGAACCATCACTCCCTGTAAAATATTATTCAAAGAAAATTACTTTAGTTTTATTTTAATCAAAATCCAGGGCTCTTCTATTTATTTTCAATTAGTGGGCATTAAAGATTATTACTACAAGTGCTAACATAGAGATTGAATTGTTAGCAATTTGGGTAATGGCTTTTAATTAAAGGTGGTAACAAAGGTATATTAAGATTTTCTGAGGTTATTTATTGATATGTAATAAAAGCATATTAGATTTAGGGGATTCAGGTTTGATAGTATTTTATTTTAATAGTAATCAGATTACTGTCAAGTATTGTTAATAGAAACGATAATTTGATATTAAAGGATTAACCATCATTGCTTGTATATTAATTCTGTATTGATGAGTTATTATAGATGGAATCTAAAATTGATATATTTAACCCTTATGATTAAACCATTGTTAAATAGCTTCTTTTTTATATTTTTATATTTATTAATTATTAAATTGTTGTACCTAAATATTTTCATATCCTAATGAGAATTTATTGTTCTTCTAAATCTTTAGCATTATTTGACAATCATTAGGTAATGTTAATTCTTTAGCTATGATTTTTTTGTATAACATGATTTGTGTTTTAATATTCAAAGGTATAAAATCACAATGCAATGCTGTTCATAATAATTCTTTTTGGTTATATGTAAATAAATGAACAAAATCTACTATTTTTATATTTAATTTTGAGTCAAATAAAAAGTTTTCTGGTTTCATATATCTATATGCTTATTCCTATATTATTTAGAATAACAACCGATAATCAATAGGTAAATTTTAAATGCTTTTTTCTCTGATATTTCAATAATACTATAAAATGTATTAAAATAATTCTCCTACCATATATATATTGCATGATTAAATTAACATCTCTTTCATTTTAAACTTTACTTACACTACTAGATAATTGTATGAAATATTAATAAGCTTTTTGCCCAGTTTCTAATTGAGTGCCTATATTTACTTTTCTCTAATTGTATTTTTTAAAATGATATATTTGAAATATTCTTATATTCATAATATATTTTGCTATTATTAATATATTAAATAATTAATGGGTAATGTTGATAGTGTTGAAGAAGCATTTCTTCCAGAATTAAAAAAAATGAACCTTATCCTTGATAAAGGATTTTATAAAGTTTATGAAAGTTCAGAGAATAACAAATACGATTTCTGGTTTCTTAAATCAAGCGATAATTCTTTTGAAGAAGAATTAAAAATAGCGGCAGATATTTAAAAAGAAAATCTACCTGGATTGGCTAAGATAGAAAACATTTAGTAAAAATAATTCGACAAATTGTTTTAAAAGTATTATTGTTTGAACATTTTAACAGAGCATCCATCTTATAATTTAAGAGAATATTTATAAAAAAAAACAAAAGATAATTGTTTGACTCCATAATAAATCACTGATCTAACGATATCAATTACAAATGCATAATTTAAACTTGGATCAAAGAAATAGTTTCTAGGATATGAAAATATTTATACAAGTGATGGTGTTATATGGAAAATAAAACCATTTGTTGAAACTAAATCATTCTATTAAGAACTATAAGAATATTAATCCAAAAATTCTAAATAGTTTGAAATGTCGGGTTTCCCTTCACCAGAAGAATTTCAATAAGGTCATTGTGATCCAGATAGAGTTTAAATTTTTTCTTTTGGAATGCTTATATTAGAATTAATCACAAGTATTTTTATCAATATCAAATAGAATAAAAAAGCAGAGATATTTATTTAAAATTTAAAATCAATGAAAATCTCTTGGCAGAGAGAATTAATGTGCTTCGTCAATAAAGCATATATTATAAGGGGAAAATGATTGACTCAGTTATTGAAATGTTAGATTTAGATTTAGTTAGAAGACCTAATTATTAGTAATTATATGCTAAATTAAATAAAAATTCACGCATTATATCTCTTGTAATAAATCCAGAAATAAAACCTATAAAAAATGAAATTAATTTATTTTCTGAAATTAAATAAAAAGAATCAGAAGTTCATATCAAAGATGCTGTATCTAAAATTGAATAATCATTCAATAGTAAACTTCATGATCATAAATTAAAATTAAGTAAATCAATTTGGAATTCAAAATTAATTGATGAAAATCTCACTTATTATGGTGTTTTAGAGAATAAAAAGTATCAAGGACAGGGTATTAATATTTCATAAAATAGGTAAACTATTTACTAAGAAAAATGAACTTCTCTATGAGGGATTTTTCAATTAAGGATAATATCATGAGTTTGGTACTTTAAATTATTTTAACACTATGGTTTTGGAAAATTCATTCCCATATCAAGATCTCACAAATATAGAAAAATATGCTAAGTGGTATGAAGGATCTTTTTAAAATGGAAAGTATAATATCTATATATATAAAAGGAAACATGGAGAAGGTAGATTAACTTTAACAAATCAAGAATATTTTATTGGATCTTTTGTGTATGATGTTATTGATGGATATGGTTCATTTATTACAAAAGATTCAAAAAAGATTATTGGAATTTGGAAGAATGGCAAGTTTGTATCTAATCCTGAAAATGTATAATCCTTTTAAAACTAAGAAATTAATAAACCATATGAGGGTTTAAGCAAAATTAATACTGAGAGAAGCTAATAATTACAATCTTAATCTTTAGATCATATTGAAACTGCGACTCGAAATGTTTTATCAGATATTAATTAAGAATCTGAATAAAGATTATATTATGATGATTAAAAAACTAAAATTAAATATTAGGGAGAAATTCTTTAAGGCAAGAAAAATGGAGAAGGCAAACTATATTTTGAAAATGGGAAACTCTAATTTGAAGGAAAATTTTTATAAGATTAATTTCATGCTGGTACTTTATATAATGAGCATCCTGTTATTCATCATTAAATTAATTATTCATTATTGAGAGAAGTTCAGGAAAAAGGATATTGGAAATATTATGTAGGATAATTTTTAGATGGAAAGTATGATATTTAATTATTATTTAGAAAAAATGGATAAGGATAATGGTACTTAACAGACAATAGTGAATTCTTTGGCTTATTTGAAAATGATCTTCCTCATGGAGAAGGAATGCTAAAAAGAATAAATTGTGATGAATTAAGTGCGAATTGGGAATAAGGTGTATTATTAAAATTAATAAAAGGAAAATTATGAATAACTGTTAAAAATTTAACATTATTAAATATCATTAATCAATAATTATGTTGTTATTATTTAAACAAATAATTATGTGAATTATAATGAAAATCTTCAAAAAGTAATATAATTTTTAATGTTTTGATAAATTTTATAAATTTAATATATTTTATTAAACAGTTTCTATAAATTAGAAACATAAAACAAATTTGAATTCAATTAGCTAACTTTTCCCATTTTTCAAAGTCTTTGTATCTGACAACGAAATCATTTTAATTTCTTTTTGATAAAGAAATACTCTATAGTTAGATCATATTGATACAGTAATAAATGATTTACCATCATCTCCAGCATTTTCAAATAGTTAACAAAATTCATCGAAATCTAGTTAAATTCCATGAAAATCACCTAATATTGAATCTAATTCAAAGTTTAGTTCAAATTCTTTTTGTATAGTTTCAATTATAGTAGACTTTAATACAAATCCTGATTTATCAAGTTAACCTCCTAAAGCACAAAAGGCATCAACTAAAGATCATATTATAACTTTACTGTATTCTTAAGTGATAGTTTCTTCTTCATTTATTTGTTACTAATATTGTTTTAATTTACAATATAAATCACAAACCTATTTAAAGTCTAAAACCTTGACATTCATTATTTTTAATTCTTCATTAAATTTAGCTATTAACTTCTCGTTATCTAAAAGTTTGAGATCTTATTTAAATAACAATATAACTACCTCTTAATACATCATCTACTTCATGTTTTCCTATATATCCAGTTGCTTTAGTATCAAATTTCTTCATTTCAATTGAAATTTCATTTATCTCATCTTAACTTAAATTAAACATGCTCTTTGCTTATTATATCAAATCTTGATAATCTGCATTTATTGTTTGTTTTCTTTTCATTTTATAAATTTTATTAATAATTAATATAATTAAAATGTCATTATTAAATTATATAGAAGATGATTAAACATACTAATTTACAAAGTATATGAATCTAATAAAGGTATTTCAATTATTCATATTAATAGACTCAAGAAGATAAAATACTTTTTGATAGATTTGCTTATGGGGTTTGTGATCCATAGATTAAGTATCAAAATGAGAAGTAAAAAAAGAAAATGGTTATCCTTACTATCTTATAAGTATGTTAAAGGTTCTAAAAAATTATAATATAGAAATAAATGTGTCACTTTTGATTAAATTTAACGAGTTTGCTATTTAAACTCAAGGACTGAGATTGAATAATTACTTATTGAACTCATCTAAAAGGAATTAATTATTGGAACTATAGATGATCAAAAAGGATGTTTAAATATACAAAGATGTATTAGCAGAGATGTTCGTAAATCTGATATTCCAGACATGAAAAAATAAATTGAATCCATGTACGAAAGAGTAAAACATTTGAAAGAGTAGTTAAAAAAATAATGAACTCAATTTATTTTAATTATTAAATAAATTGTGAATATGGCATATTATTTCGATTTATTATTAAATGTACTGTAATATAATCGTAAACAAATCAATTGATGTTAAGCTTAGTTCTTCTCCAGTGTCTACGTTTTGAATTATATCTATAATGAGATTAACATTCATTTAATACCTGATTGTGTTATCAGTTCTATATCTAAACCAATTTGGAAGAGGTCTATTTTGCTTATTTGCTTTGATCAATCTCTTCTTCATTCTCAATGATTTGTGTGCTCCCTAAATAAACATAAGTGAAACTCATTACCATTTTAAATCTTTTTTTTAATTTATTTAATAATTTATTTTATATACTCAATTTCTCTTCTTCTATTTATATTATTTTTTTTCATTACAATAAAAAATTCAATTAATATTTTAATGGTATTTCCTTTATTAAATATCAAAATGCCATATATATTCATTATTTTAAGAATATTGCTAATTATTCTAATTATAATGTTAGAAATAATACACAATTACTTTAAAAAAATTCCTAAAAGTTTTTTATATTATGTTTTACTATAATAATATAAATTTCCATTACCTTATGTATTAAATTGAAACATTTACTATTTTAAATAAAATTTACAGTTTTTCTTAAATTATGAAATTCTCGACAAATTTTTTTGTAAAGATTTCAAAAGTTAAATTTTCTTGTAACATTGATAGTTTATTGTTAAAGGTTGAAATATCAATTTTATATAATAAATAAGTAGTATTTTGCAATTTAATATAGTTATTCAAACAAGATGGTATTAAATTTTAGAATTCTATCATTTTATAATTCTATTTCAAGAAATAGTTTAGTCTGAAAATGAAAAATATAGCTATTTTATCATAAAATAACATAAATATAAGTTTATAAAGCTGACTTAAATTAAAAAATGTCACTTATTAGATATTTTAGTTTTCTAACATTACTTCTTTCTTAAGAAATAATGAATTAAATATCATTATGATGATATTTCATTAGAAATCTGAAAGAAATTTTACTTTCAAAAATGCAAACACGAAATTACTATTTTTAAATGAATATGTTCTTATATAAGAAAATAAATTTTATAATATAATTGATTAGAATAATTCATAATTAGCATTTTGCTTAATGAAGTTAATATTATTTTATTCATTTAATAATAAAACTTGTTTCGTACGAATTAATTATGTAAATCTTAGAAAATTCGGATTCAATAGTTAGTGATGATCAATGTTTGGAATTAGATTGCAGAATTATAGTACCAAAGTTTAAGAAAGAAGAATATGATACTTTTTAAACAGAAACTAATACTTCTGTTATTTCAAGAGTGATGAAAATGAAATCGAACTCACAAGAATTTAGATTTAAATAGTTCAATTAATTTAGCCCTCAAGGTTCCTTTAATTGTACTTAAAAACAAATTTAATGTTCATTACTCAATGAAGATGAGTATTCTAATAAACTTAAAGTGAGGTTACACATATAACCTGAAGAAGGTAAATTAAATACAAAGAAAAAGAAAAAGAAAGACAAAGCTTCATAAAGTCCTGCAAGTTCAGTAGAGCATAATAATGATTCTTAAAAAGCAAGAAAATAAAATCAGAATGCAATAAGAATGTAAAACCAATTAAATTAACCAAACTAGTAATAAACTATAATAAGATCAAATAAAAGATAATTAAGTTAAACTTTTAAAAGTTATTCTGTTGAAGCATCACCTCTTAAAATTACTAGATTTTCATAAAGATAAATTTATGTAACCTAATTAGTCAATACTTATGAAGAACCTTTATAAGAAAAATTAAGTTTAGTATAATTAGAAAACAATGACAAATTAAATAAAGGGATTTTAAGTCGATATACTAGTAAAGCAAAGACATTAAAGAATATTGTTTAAAAAACTTAATTAAAAGGTATCCTAAAAAGTTAATCCTGTAATAGTGAAGGAGGTAGAAGAAGAAAAAATGCATCTTAAGATTAACAAAATAAAAAATCAAGTTTTTTCAAAAAGGTTACTTTTAATTCTAGTAAATTATCTAAAAACAATTTACACAACAACATTAAAGATGTTCAATAACAGCATTTAATAATAATATGATGAAATTGAAATAATATTTTTTAAATCTCAAAGCAAGTTATTATATTAAATTAATTTTATTTAAATGAAATCGTTATTTTTTTATGACTTTACGATTAAAAACAATTGTTGTTTGATTAGCAACAATGAGATCATAAACTTAAGAAGAGCACAATTAATTTAGCAAAATCAACTTGTATTTAAATCATAAGCTACTGTTAAATTGAATTTATATCAGAACTCAAACCAAAAAGATACATCATCATAGTATCTTGTATTAGAATTTTTTGAATTAAAATTAAATGGTAAGAAAAAGTTATGGAAAGCAAAATTATAAGAATTTCTAAATTTGAGAAAAAGTAAAATATATTTAATTATTTGATGTAGCCTAACTCCATTATTAAAGAATTGATAACAAACAATTATTTAGAATTAAACTGATTTTTTAAAGATTATGATCTAAACATAAAAAGTAGAAGATAAAGTATTGTAAATCTTTAAACTTAAGAAAAATAAAAGAAATTTTGTTGAAATATTCTTAGAAATTAATTAAGAAAAAGAAAATTTTGAATAATTACCTTTAATTAATAAGTTATTTAAATGCGACATCTATATTAAATAAAAGTGTTTCAAAATGTAATTGTCTTACTCTTAAATAAAATGAAATAATATAATTCTTTTTAATATTAATAAAAAAAAAAATATTAAATGGCAAGAATTAGAAGGTTTAATCAATCTATTTATAAGAATTAATATTGAAAATGTAGTTATAGTTTTTAATTCAATTAAAAAGTAAACACGAAATCTATCATTTATTAAGGAACTAGAATGAAAAAAAGAAATTTTTAACAAAAAAGATTTTTAATTAAAGCTTATATGATAATTCATTTGTCATTTATAAACAGATAGATAATAATAATAAAATCATTAAATGTGGCTTTCTAGTAGATTAGGACATTGCCAAGAGACAAGATCAACTAATTTTTATATTTAGTGATTATTAAAATTGTCCAATAATTCTTTTTAATCAATTTATTTCTAAAGACAAGATTCAATCTAATCAATAATCTGCATTATTTCAATATATAATTGTTAAAACAATTATAAAATTGTTTATATCTTCGTCACATTAATTTATATTTTTTATAAATTGATTGGTGATATAATAGTAAGTGGTTAATTTGATTATTCATCTTCAATGTTATAAAAATTATTTTAACCCTTGTCATCTAAATAGATGGCCCATTTATTTGGATCAAAATTACATCCATATTTATGTAAAAAATTAATAAGTTTTTAACCTATACTATGATCTTATCCTATAGCAGCCAACATTATAGTTAAACAAAATGAACTAATACCACCAGTATAAGAATCATTAAGATCTTTAATTTTGAGTAATTTTTTTAGATATATTGCTACTTCTGAAAATCCTGAAATTTTTTCACAAATATCAATTGTATATTGTGTAGATTAAAAACCTATATTGAATGCTTAAACATATGGATTATATATAGCATAAGGAGGAGCCAATTCAAAAGTAATATCAATGTAGATATGTTAACCTAAAGTCAGACTCAAAATTACTTGGATCTCCATATTTTAAATTGAGATCTTGATTTCTGCATTGCATAATAATATACTTTGGTTCTCCTTTAAATGATAGAAAATCTATAGAAGGATCTACTAAGACTTTTATAAGTGGTACTGAAGCTTAAAAAATATGTCTATTATATATTAATTTCTTTATACTTGCATTACACAGCCCATTTCAATTCAGTAAAAATCTCTATTAATCTTCTCATAGGTTCAAACAATTATTATTTTGTATATACTTGTAAACCATAAACAACCATATCCACATCACTATCTTTTAAAGCTAAACCAGTTGTAGATGAACCAAAAATTTCAGTGTCACAATTTTTAAAATACGATTTAATAACATGTTGAACTCTTTAAATTGATATATCTCTAGCAGCTTTATATCTATTATATTAATCCATTTCTTTTTCATATATTTATTTAACATCATTTGTTATTTTTTAATCCAAAATTGTTTTATAAATCTTTTATAATTAATTTTGATCTAAATCGTAAATAAACAATTTTTATTCTTTTTATTGAGCTTTTGATTTTACTAAACCTGATCTTTATATTTTATTTATTCCATTTTCTTTTTTTTATAAAACCATTCTACTTTGTTATTGAGATTACATTCTCTCCAATTTAACCTCATCATATTAGTGATGATTATTCTTTTGAACTGATTAAGAAGTAGATTTTTTTAATGAAGGAATATATTATTATTCATCTGGTAATGATTAATTATCTTAAAATTCTTTATCTTTTTTGTTTGTCTACTTTTTATTTCTTTATGATTTTGTTTTACTTTATTTTTTTTATTACTTTTTATTCTAAACTTCGATATATTCACTTTCATCATCAAGTACAGGAGGATTAGCAATTATTGGAATTTCTTAAGATACTGACTCCATTATCTAAACTTCCTATTATTATTCAATTATTAATTCTTCATTGATTTCAGTATCTTCGTTATCATCCTTAATAGAAGATTTAGAAGATTTCTCCATTTTCTCTTCTTATTATGGACTTTATTATTAAGTTTAATTTATTTATTTTTGTTTCTTTCTCTCTAAATTACTAAAAAATATGATTTTATAATTTTACTCTTTTTTTCTTTATTTTTCAAGTTACTTTTTTCTTTATTTTTTAGACTTAGGTTTATCATTCCATTCATCATCTTTTATAATATCTTGAGATACTTATACTGTAGATTCTGGCTACACAATTTCACTTACTTATTATTTTTTAGCATTTTTAACTTTTTTAAGCTTTTTCTTATATTATTTATAATTTTCTAATTCTGTTAAAACTGTTTCAATCAATCTTTTCATAAAACTTGTAGAATGTTCATATATTTATTATTCTTTTTCTTCTAAATTTGTACTAAATAATCTTTATTCATTTTCAGGCAATATTTTAGATTTTTCAGAACTTGTAAAATAAGAATTGATTTATTTTAAAGAATCAACCTTACCTTAAAAAAGTTTCAAATCAGATAACTTTTATTTTGGCTTTTTTTTTTCTTTATGTATCTCTTCCAAAGGTTTCTTTAATGGATATAAACTTTTTAATTACTTACAAATTAAGTATTTACAAAATAGGAAAGATTCCATAACTATAGAATTAAATTAATAATTACTTGTGAATTTCAGAGGTGATTGAAAAATCAACTCTTTATTTGATACAAATTATTTTATTTATTGTTCAATATTAATGATATTTAAATTTTCACATTTAATATGCTAAAACCAACTTTATAAAAGCACTTTTTCATCAATAAACTACATTTCTATTTGAGACTATTCCAAAACTTTCTAAAATTCTTGAATTTCTATGTCATAATTGAAATAATTGAAATTTAATTCAATTTAATGATAGTTAAATAATTAATCCTATTTAGTATAAGTGCATTTTTGTTCAAATTATTAGAATCTTAAGTTGTATTTACAATATGTTACTTAATTAAGATGGCTTTTTCAATTTCATTTACAATATGTTCTGATAAGGTCCAGAACATTTTTTGATTTTATTATGAATCAAAATTAATTTCTGAATATTCCTCATCCTCATTAGTTTCGATCCTCCAATTTTTAGTGAATATTTGTTGTTTGGATAGAATTTCAAAAGATGAAATAATATCTTCAATATTGCCTTTAATAGTAATAGTATCAAATAGCCATTCATAATCTGAAATATAAGTATGATCAAGTATATACTACGTCTAAAATGCTATAAATACTTATTAAGCAGATCTCCATGATTTATTCATATCTATACGATTACATTCTCTTACATAATAATATTGATGTAATTATATTTTAACATTAACTTCATATGGGCTTTGAGCTAATTCTAGATATTCATGTAGCAATATTTAATCTTATTTAAACATTTTGAGAAAGGAATGAACTCTGTAATAAGAGGTGAAGGATAATACTTGCTGTAATTGGCAAGTAGGTAAATTTCTCAACCTTGATTAATTTGTCTCACTTACCATTTATATATTTGGTTTTTCTTTTCCAATCCATCTTTGTCTGGTGCATTTAAAGATTAACAATAGTAGGTAACCTTGTTAATTTGTCGAGATGAATATCTTTGGAATTATGTTTAAGGATAAGCAATCTCGTTCATAAATAAATAATTTTATGTTGTGTTGTTTTTGTTAATTTGTACTTGAGTATATGCAAAATAAAAAACATCATCTAAATCTTCTGAGGGAAATTCTATTTCTTCTAGCATAATTAGCTCTTCTTGATGGTCTTGTTTGATTATTACGATGTCCTTTAACTCTAAGTCCTCTACTCTTTCTACCAGCAGATGTTAAACCTTAATATTATTATATTCATTAAACCTCTTAATTCTCTATGTTTATGTACTGGTTTTGTAATCCAATTTATTCTTGGATCTCCTCTAATTGCTGGATGGAATGGATCAACTGTAATAACTTCATAATATTTATATGTTCCATCTTAGGCAACCCAATAAGAATTCAAAACTCTAAGTGCTCCTATCTTTCTCCCTACTCTTTCCTCAGCAACTGATCTAAGGTTTCTTGTTGGCTTTAATTAATTGACTCCTTGACTCTTGGGTTTACCTTTAACAAGTCCCTTTCTAATTAACAATTTTCTCCCTCCTCTTCTTACTCTAACTCTATAAATTACATAGCCTAACTAATTCATTATTTCTTTTACCTTATTTTGCCTTATATCCCAATCTTCTAGCTTTATCGGGTCTGCTTGGTCTGGTTGCTCTATGAATCACTGGTAATTGTCTATATTCCCATGTTCTGATTCTCATAATGAAGCTCAACACATCTGATTGCTTCTTTTTCCAAAGCTCTTGTAAATACTTATATGCGCCCATTTCTATAAGAGAAAAAAGATTTTTATTTATTAAAAATTTTCAAATCAATATATAGCAACCACAATATATAAATTTAATCATCATTTTATTTAGAATATTAATTTATCGATTTTAGTTTTAAACCATATATTTCATCCATAATATATCCATACTCAACTATTAAATGTAATTTTAAAAACATTCTGCAAATACCTTTATAATTCAAAATGTTTCTTATATCCTTTTAATACAAAAACAAAGACATTATTCATAAATTAGCCAAAATATCTTACAAATTTTATAAAGACTACCATAAAACCATTTTATTAACTTATTTAATAATTTAATATAAATTTCCAAAATCTCTTTTTAGATTACCTATATATTACTTACTATTATTTTTAAAATAATACAAAAAAATTATCTATTCAATTCAAATATTCAATCAAATTCTAAATCAGAATGATCCCATTTTGCAATAGGTATTGAACATTTTTTCTTTAAACTTTCTTATTAAATTCGTGGTTTTTAAATCATTATCTTTTAACATCTATCTATGATTTTACTTTTTTTTAAACTTTTCTTTTCAGATTTCTTATTTTAGAGCGGTGATTGATTAACTCTTTCTTTTATTTTACATTTTCCAATGCTTAATCCCAAAGTTAAAGGTAACACTTAAAAAATATTTATTTTTCTATTATTTTAACACGAAAATCCTATTCTTGATTAAGTAAGTTTAGGATTTTGGATTTCTTATTTTTTTTGAGATATTTTATTAGATTGAATAAGTAAATCAGTTTTTTATTTTTAAGTTTAACCACATTCTACTTATTTCTCTGTGTTACATAATTATGTTTTATAATTATCTTTATAGAGATACATTTTTTCAAGCATCAATTTTTTTAATTCTATTCTTTTTTAAATTTCATCAATGTTAATTTCATTTAAAGGAAGAGTCTTACATTTAATTTCCTTTTATCTACGAAAATTATTTATTCTTGAATTCGTTGACCTTGAAGTATTTTATTAGTAATTTTAGAATTATATTTACAAATTAGGTGGAGATCGAGCTGGAACATAAGTTTAATAATAATAGTCTCTTAAAGTAACTTAATATTAGGATCTTTCAGATTGTTTTTAAGTCTTTTTTTTATTTTTGGATGCAAGTAATTATGAAATATTAATGAATTTTTAAGGACTGTCTTCATCAATGTAGCTTATTGTTAGTGGTCTTTCTTGAATTATTATATTATCTGCTCTATTTATCGAAAAAATATATTCTACCCAAAACAATCAATTGTTTAGTTCATGTTCAATAAAAATAATATAAATTAGTTTTAAAATATAGTTAATTTACGATTGAAATTTTTAAGAAGCCAAAAAAGTAAAAACTAGAGTTTGTTATGTAGATATATACTTTAAATCATTATTATTTTAGTTAAGGACTTTTATTTCCTTGATTGTATTATTAATCTAATTAAAAGTCTTCAGGAAGTTCTTAGTCTTGTCTTTAAACTTTTTCGACTGAATCCTCAGCAGCAGACAATTTTCTGAATCTATATATAATTTAATTAACTGTTTGAAATTTTAATTCTACCTTTTCTTTTGCTAAGAGTCTGGTAGTGAATTTCTAAAATTCAAATAAACAATTACCTTCTGTAATTCTTCTGCACCCTACATATTAACAAAAGGTGGAATTTTGATTTATTTATGCTATTTGCAATTTTTAATCTTTAAAAATTAACCGACATCTTCATATTCATTCACAATAAAATACTATCCTTCATAAGTAAAACAGACTTTTTTTATATTAATTATAGCAAATTCAGGATGAGCTAATTTTTTAAAGATTTCATAATCTTTTTTTTAAAGTTTAACTATGTTAGCTTTCACCATCTTATCCTTTTCAAAAAACTTTTCCTTTATATATAATTGTGATTATCCTTCATGTTTTCTTTATACTAATAGAAGAGTTGAATTTTCTTATTGTGGAACTAAATAGGTCTTATTTATTTCAACAATTTAATGTTCCTAAAGAGAAAATATATATATATTCTTACATCTTTCAATTAATTAAAATTAATATCTTAAGCTAATATAAATTATCTATTTTTTCCAATTTGTTTTTATGGAATTAAATGACCCAAAACTCTTAAGACTTCATGAAGTAACCAATCTAATTTTTCATTAAAAGATTAAACACTATGGTTATCAATTTTAATTAAATTTGGATGTCCAGTCCAAGCTTCTTAAGTTCTATGATCCATTTCCAAAGCTTATTATTAAGTTTCATGACGAGCTTTATTATTGAGTGTACTATAACAATCTGTACTATCTGCTGCTGTTACCATATGTACAATTGCATCATACCTTAAATCTCTCATCTAAAATTCATCCAAATTATATTTCCCAATCATTTCATACCATTCAGTTTAATCCATATAAGCCTTACCATCCATTAAACCTCGATCACATAATAATACAGGAGTCTTATTTGCTGGACATAGCATCGCAAGTACATGAAAACTATGTTCTAACTTCATTTATAAATTAAGCAAATTCATTTAAAATGTCATTTTACCTTCACTTGAATAATTATCTAAATCCAACATACCACCACCCATAAATAATGTTGTTGCTGCTTCAGGAACTAAAAATACTGCAAACCCTCTCTCTTTCAATTTCTCTGCAAGATAGTTGAGTCCTGTTGTTTTACCTGCACAAGGACCTCCTGTTATACAAATTTTTCTAACTCTTGAATGATTATTTTTTATTAATGAATTCTTTAGGTTATATTCTATTGTCTCCCCTAATTCTATATCACTTTTTAAATTTTTTTGCTATTATTCAGTCTTTTTTTATTGTAATTCAGAGTTTAACAGCATTTTTCTGTATAATAATTCTTTCATTTGAAATTTCTTCTAGTTAAATTTCCACTTAGTGAAAGCAACCAAACACGGAATTATACTGAAACAAAGACCATAAATTAGATGATCTTTATTCATAAATTAAATTTTAATATATTTTTTCAAAAATTGAACATCCAAATTCAATAAAACAGATTAATATTTCATATTATTTTTCATTCTCTCTAATTTATTCTAAGATTTACAAATAAATATGACTTTTTTCATATTTATAATATCATAAAGGTTTTATTGTTTATAATATTTGAATATTATTTTTTGTTTGGAAATTATTGTTAACAAATAAAAAGCTAATAAAATTGAGATAAAAATAAAAAAATCTTATAAGCTTACTTTCTATTTTAATCAATTGGTTTCTTGTTTAAATGAAATTTCTACTTGAATTCTTCATTACTAAAAGATATCATTTTTGCCTCATGCAGATTATAAAAGAATGTTATTAAATATAAAACATTAATAAAATGAAACCCAGAAAACATTTCTTTAGATTAAATTTTTTCTCAACAATTTTTAGTATTAAATTATGAAAAATAACTCACAAACTGATAAGCAATTAAAAAAAAGATAGAATATTAAATAAGTATAAATTTTGGTAAATAGAAAATTTGTAATTTCAATTATATCTGCACACAGGGCATTCATGACTTTTTTTTTGCCATTCTTAAAGACAAGCTTAATGGAATATATGACAACATTATAAAACTCCTTTTTAATCCGCAAGTCCAATATCTAATAAGCAAATTGGGCATTCTTGAGCTTTGTAAGATTAGTAAGCATCAGCTACTTATTTTAATGGGCAATCTTAATAATGATCTTATTTGAATTTCTTAAATATTTTTTCTTAGCAAAATTCACATAAATCATCTTCAGCCTCCTACAATGAAAATGCTTGACAATTTATTTAATGATCGTTGATAAATTTTTCTAAAATAGATTCTCCACAATATCTACAATCAACTTATAAATTTTCTTAAAGACAATTTTCTAGATGTTCAGATATGAAACAATATGGGTAGTAATCTCCACAATTACTACAAGGATAAAGTCTCATATCATCTTCTTATTTCACATCCATTATATTAATATTAATTATGTCTGATATATATTCTAATATAAATTCCCAGCTTCATTCCAATTAGAATTTATCCCTATATGCAAGGCATTAAAAAGAAGCAAGAATAGAGCATTCAAAGCTTACACCTGAAGAATAGAAAGAAAAGTTGCTACAAGTTTATAATAATCGACCACCTGTTTTTTCAGATGAGGCTAAAATACCACCTAAACAAATTACAGCCACTTAAGGATCACAAAGATAAAAACTTTAGATGGGAATCATTAATCCAATTCATTAATTTGAAGATCCTAGAATCATAAAAAATGAAGCTAAATAAAAAGAACAGGAGTGGTATGCTTAAAGGATGAAATAAAAGTAGAGACCTAAACCAGAAGATCCACTAATTGAACCTCAAGCAGATTTAGTTTTATAAGCAAATAAAATTGATTTAAAGTATAGATTACTTTTCAAATTAGGCCTCCTCCTATGTTAGAAAAAGAGAAGCCACTAATGTAAGATCATCTAGCTAATCCGTATATCTATATAAAAAAGATTTTCAAAAAGAATTCTGTTGAATCATAAATGAAACACCCAGATATTTGGGATAAGAGTACTCATGTTGAATCTTTAAGAATTAATAAAATTATGAAGTAAGAGGGCAAGAAAAGACCTTAATCAGCTAAAGTTATTTAATAATAATAAGTCCAACCTTAGGATAAACAAAAAGAAAAATTAAATAAAAAAGAAAGAGAAGAATTTTATTTGAAAAATCTAGTAATTATGTAGAATATTTTTTTAGAAAATGAAAGAATTTCTATTCAAGTTTTTTAAGACAATAAATCATTTACTAAAGGCCAGAAAATATAATAAAATAATTTATAAAGGAGATCAATAGAATTATGATCTAAACACTTTATTCAATTTATGGGCAGAACATAAAAAATTCAATTTTAAATCAAATCCTGAGAAATATAGTAATGATAGAATATAATTAAAATTTAGTAACAAAAGAATAGTTTGTGGATTTTTTACTATTGATTGGACTTGATCCAGACAGATCTCATGAAGCTGAAAGGTTTTTTGATTATTGTCATGATGATGTAGTAAAAGCTCCTGGAATTGCTCAATAAGAATTAAATACTTAAGCTTAACAAGATTCAAAATGGTTTCGGTTATTTAAGGATTGAGAATAAAAATTTTGAAGAAATTATCAAATTTTATATAATGTACTATTGATTATGTAATCAAAACAAAACAAATTGCTTTCTAACGTTACCAATAATTTCATTAGGGATGACTTTCAAAACATTGAATCTAACGGTTTTTGATAATGGTCTGAATAATTTGAATTAATTGAATACCTGCATTATCCGCAAACAACAATATCTCCTTCCTTAACAGGTCCAAAAGCTGGTGAAATATGGACTGGTACATTTCTGTGTCTCTTCTCATATCTATTATATTTGGCAACATAATGTAGATAATCTCTTCTAATAATAATTGTTCTGGTCATTTTGGTTGAGATGACAATTCCTCTGATTTAATTATTTTATTAATATGATACTTTAAGATGGCTCCTCTGACACTAACATTACCTGTGAATGGACATTTCTTATCAATGTAATGTCCTTCAATAGCTTCCTTTGGTACTTTGAATCCAAGTCCAACTTCTTTCCAATATCTTACTCCTTTTGATGTTTTCTTAGCCAAAAGTTTTTTTGAGTTTTGGAAGATACCTTCTTGCTTTTAGAATGCTCTTTAAGTCTAGACGTCTGCCATTATATATTTTTTTAAAAAAGATATAAATTTTTATGTAATAATAAGGAAATATATTTTAAACAAAAAATAGATTAAATTTACTTGAAAAAAAAACAATTCAAAATCATAATAACTATACAGTTCTTTTCTTATCATCAAATTAGACCTTTTCATTTTTATCTAATTCTAGTAGACATTTTAAGAATTATAAATAATCAGCAATAATAATTCTACTTTGACTTTAGAGTTCTCCCCAAATAATATCTATATCAACAACATCTTAATGAAGCTAAAATATATATTATATGATACTTTTTCTTTAAAATCTCTTAAGACTTTGTGAACAGCCTTTAATTAATCCCTTGTTATACTTTATGAGTGAGCCTATTATAGGAATAAATGAAATTCAGCTTCTTTATTTTTTGGATCATCTTATTTTTATTTTTTCTTATCACTCTTAACAATCAGTTGATTTTCTTAATCTTCCTGTTTAAGTTATTATTCAGATTCAATTTTTTATCTCCCAAGAGATAAAGGCTATTCACTTTTAAGTTTTTGTTGACTTGATTTTCTGCCACTTACTTTTCTATTTTCTTCAACTTCTTCGTCTAAATCCATTTGCAAAGAAATCTTCATTAATTTAGCTCCTATTGTAACATCTTATTTAGTGACAATGTTTGAGAGTCTTAATTTGGCATGGGCAGAAGCCAATCTGATAAGAGATTCTAATGATCTAATAGTGATTGGTTAAGTTCTTATTTATTTTTCTTATAAGTCATTTTATCTCATTTTAGTCCATTGCTTAGTAACTTCTTCTGCTGCTTCATCATCTAATATAACATTAGAATAATTCTCTTTGGCATACATTATATATTTTTTAAGGAATGTCTAAGTTAAGAGATCTTTCTAATCTTAAGTGTGATAGACAGCTGATTGTTGAACAAAAGGTGATATTTCTTGTTTGATGCTCATCTAAGCCATGGGTTGAATGATATCACCAATGTTATCTTCCTCATCATATTAACCTTTAAATCTATGATTTTTGGTAACCCTTTCTGCCACTCTTCTATCATGATCTTTTGATTTTTAATCCAAAATAATAAATAAAAGATCAAATCTACTGAGAAGGGAATCAGGTAAACCAATATTCTTAGTAGGTGCCATATCTAATTAATATTCACCATAGAGTGGATTTGCAGCAGCTAAAACAGAACATCTAGCATTTAAAGAACAATGTATTCCTGCTTTAGCAATAGTAACTGTTTATTATTCCATTACTTCATGTATTGCTACTCTATCAATTTCATTCATCTTATCAAATTCATCTATTAAAATAACTCCACCATCAGCTAAAACCATTGCTCCAGCTTCTAAATTATTTTCTCCTGTTTCATTATCTCTTTTAACAGCAGCAGTCAAACCAACACTTGATGTTCCTCTACCTGTTGTAGTTACTACTAAAGGTGCAGTTCCCATTACATATCTAAGTAATTATGATTTAGCTGTTGATGGATCTCCTATCAATAAAATGTTAATATCTCCTCTTAAATGAGTTCCTGTTTCCAAGTTCTTCTCTGTTCCTCCTAACAATTGCAACAATATCGACTATTTTACATTTTCATGTCCAAATATTGATGGAGCTATTGATTTTGACATATATTCCAAAAGATCTTATTATTTTATCATTATCAATACTTGGTTTTTTAGCTATTTCTTTTATGTGTTTGATATCCCCATCTGAAATCTTGGTTTCTTATACTGCATTCATCACTTTTATATTCTATGCTATCAATGTAGTCCTGAATGTTCCATTTGCTTTTGTTGATGAATTAGGAATACACTTATAAACCCCAGTAATCTATAATTATTCTTTATTTCCTACCTCTACTCTATCTCCTGGCTTTACTCTATCTACTAAATCTTAATCCAATATCACCTCTAATGATCTAGGCAACATTCCAGTCGGAGTTCTCTCTGGCAGTTCTTATACTACTAATGTCTACATGTCATTTAAATCACTTAATCCAAATTCAAAAATCATAGGGTTACCTTCTTCATCTTTCTTTTAAACCACTCTAACTTATCTTGATGATGTTCTTGAACTTGGATCCATATTGTTAAAATATTCCACTTATTTGAATTAGTTTTTCTTCTCTATATAATGAACTGATTTCTAAAGTTTTAACAACACCAATGACATCTTTGTTACTATTGCCTATGTACAAACCAATTAATTTATTTGTCCTGCTCCCAATCCCCTTGGAGTAACGTAATTCTTTCCCAATTTACCTTCAAAATATATTTTATATGTCTTCTCTGTCTATACTCCCTTTTTATCATCCTCCTCTTATTAATCTTGCAATTGCTTGCATATTTAACTTAATTTCTGTTAGAATACTCTTATAAAATCTGTTGGATTTCTAATCAAATCATCAACTCTAAAAAATATATTATTAACTCTCTTACAAATTAGGATATTGTTATCTTGATTCCTATCTCAATGTGTCTAAATTTATAGGAAATCTAATTTTATTTTGCTATCTCATTGCCTCAATCTGTGCAATATCTATGTTACTTAGAAATCTTTCAAGATAGTCTCGGTAAATTAAATCTTACTATGGCGCTTCTTATGTGTTCATTTGATTTATTTTATTATTTACTAACTTTATGTATCAACTTTGCCACAATTTATACTTTTGGCGCAAAAAAACTAATTATTTTTGATTTTATGAAATAAATTCATATTCAGTATTTGTGATTAGGAATCTATAGAGTGTGAGTTTAACTTAAAGAAAAATAGAATAAAAATATTCAAAAGTGCCAAATAATATGAAATACATGAAGAATACTTTAGTTAAACACATTTTAAAATAGTAATTGAACATTCAATTGATATATAAATCATATTCTTGCCTCTATAATTCAAAATAGATAAATTAATATTATTATCATCGTTATTTTAATAATTTCGAACTTTCTTAATATAAATTGAGAACACATTAAGTCTACATGATATTTGATTTAAATCCTAATGAGTGTGTATGAGAATAAGTAAGAAAGAAAAGTGGATTATTAATAGTTGGTTTTCATAAAGTTATAAAGAGATTTGAATAGGAGAAGAGAATAATTAGATATAAAATAAATAAAGAGTATAGAGATGAGTAAATAGAGTGGAAGTAATATATTTGAGTGTTTTGTGATTGATATTTATATATTCCTAATCATGATAGTTTATAAAGATACTTGATATGCATAATTAAATG